GGTAAAGAGAGTGGTGAGAGAGTGCAAAAGGAGAGCAGATGATAGAGTGGGAGAGGCACTGTCAAGAAATTTTAATGAAAATAAGAAAAAATTTTGGAGTGAGTTAAACAAGTTAAGAAAGCCTAGGGAAAATATGGATTTGTCAGTTAAAAACAGAGTAGGGGAGTTAGTAGATGGGAGATGGAGGTATTGGGTAGATGGCGAGAATATTTTGAGGAACTTTTAAATGTTAAGGAAGAAACAGAGGCAGTAATTTCATGCACTGGTCAGGGAGGTATACCATCTTTTAGGAGTGAAGAAGAGCAGAATGTAAGTGTGGGGGAGGTACGTGAGGCATTACGTAAAATGAAAGGGGTAAAGCAGCTGGAACTGATGGGATCATGACAGAAATGTTAAAAGCAGGGGGGATATAGTGTTGGAGTGGTTGGTACTTTTGTTTAATAAATGTATGAAAGAGGGGAAGGTACCTAGGGATTGGCAGAGAGCATGTATAGTCCCTTTATATAAAGGGAAAGGGGACAAAAGAGACTGTAAAAATTATAGAGGAATAAGCTTACTGATATACCAGGAAAAGTGTACGGTAGGGTTATAATTGAAAGAATTAGAGGTAAGACAGAATGTAGGATTGCGAATGAGCAAGGAGGTTTTAGAGTGGGTAGGGATGTGTAGATCAGGTGTTTACATTGAAGCATATATGTGAACAGTATTTAGATAAAGATAGGGAAGTTTTTATTGCATTTATGGATTTAGAAAAGGAATATGATAGAGTGGATAGAGGAGCAATGTGGCAGATGTTGCAAGTATATGGAATAGGTGGTAAGTTATTAAATGCTGTAAAGAGTTTTTATGAGGATAGTGAGGCTCAGGTTAGGGTGTGTAGAAGAGAGGGAGACTACTTCCCGGTAAAAGTAGGTCTTAGACAGGGATGTGTAATGTCACCATGGTTGTTTAATATATTTATAGATGGGGTTGTAAAGGAAGTAAATGCTAGGGTGTTTGGGAGAGGGGTGGGATTAAATTATGGGGAATCAAATTCAAAATGGGAATTGACACAGTTACTTTTTGCTGATGATACTGTGCTTATGGGAGATTCTAAAGAAAAATTGCAAAGGTTAGTGGATGAGTTTGGGAATGTGTGTAAAGGTAGAAAGTTGAAAGTGAACATAGAAAAGAGTAAGGTGATGAGGGTGTCAAATGATTTAAATAAAGAAAAATTGGATATCAAATTGGGGAGGAGGAGTATGGAAGAAGTGAATGTTTTCAGATACTTGGGAGTTGACGTGTCGGCGGATGGATTTATGAAGGATGAGGTTAATCATAGAATTGATGAGGGAAAAAAGGTGAGTGGTGCGTTGAGGTATATGTGGAGTCAAAAAACGTTATCTATGGAGGCAAAGAAGGGAATGTATGAAAGTATAGTAGTACCAACACTCTTATATGGATGTGAAGCTTGGGTGGTAAATGCAGCAGCAAGGAGACGGTTGGAGGCAGTGGAGATGTCCTGTCTAAGGGCAATGTGTGGTGTAAATATTATGCAGAAAATTCGGAGTGTGGAAATTAGGAGAAGGTGTGGAGTTAATAAAAGCATTAGTCAGAGGGCAGAAGAGGGGTTGTTGAGGTGGTTTGGTCATTTAGAGAGAATGGATCAAAGTAGAATGACATGGAAAGCATATAAATCTATAGGGGAAGGAAAGAGGGGTAGGGGTCGTCCTCGAAAGGGTTGGAAAGAGGGGATAAAGGAGGTTTTGTGGGCGAGGGGCTTGGACTTCCAGCAAGCGTGCATGAGCGTGTTAGATAGGAGTGAATGGAGACGAATGATACTTGGGACCTGACGATCTGTTGGAGTGTGAGCAGGGTAATATTTAGTGAAGGGATTCAGGGAAACCGGTTATTTTCATATAGTCTGACTTGAGTCCTGGAAATGGGAAGTACAATGCCTGCACTTTAAAGGAGGGGTTTGGGATATTGGCCGTTTGGAGGGATATGTTGTGTATCTTTATACGTATATGCTTCTAAAACTGTTGTATTCTGAGCACCTCTGCAAAAGCAGTGATAATGTGTGAGTGTGGTGAAAGTGTTGAATGATGATGAAAGTATTTTCTTTTTGGGGATTTTCTTTCTTTTTTGGGTCACCCTGCCTCGGTGGGAGACGACCGACTTGTTGAAAAAAAAAAAAAGAATATATATATACATATATATATCTTCTTCTTCTTTCAACGTACCAGCCGTATCCCACTGAGGTGGGGTGGCCCAAAAGAAAAAACTGAAGTTTCTCCTTTTAAATTTAGTAATATATACAGGAGAAGGGGTTACTAGCCCCTTGCTCCCGGCATTTTAGTCGCCTCTTACGACAAGCATGGCTTACAGAGGAAGAATTCTGTTCCACTTCCCCATGGAGAACATATATATATATATATATATATATTTTTTTTTTTTTCAACAAGTCGGTTGTCTCCCACCGACCAGCAATGGCATCGATTAACGATAAATCTGACTAGCGATACATTTTATCGCAAAAATTTTGCCTCGATTAGCGCTAAAAAACTCGACCAACACTATTCGTTCCGTCTGAGATGCGTCCACTTCTGGCCAGTGTTTACAAGCCAGCCAGCCACCGCGGTCGCTTCCAAGCATACAATCGGAACATTTCATATTATCACAGCCTTTTTAGTGATTGCACCTGCAAAATAAGTCACCATGGGCCCCAAGAAAGCTTCTAGTGCCAACCCTACAGCAAAAAGGGTGAGAATTACTATGGATATGAAGAAAGAGATCATTGCTAAGTATGAAAGTGGAGTGCATGTCTCCGAGCTGGCCAGGTTGTACACAAAACCCCAATCAACCATCGCTACTATTGTGGCCAAGAAAACGGCAATCAAGGAAGCTGTTCTTGCCAAAGGTGCAACTATGTTTTCGAAACTGAGATCGCAAGTGATAGAAGATGTTGAGAGACTGTTATTGGTATGGATAAACGAAAAACTGATAGCAGGAGATAGCATCTCTCAAGCGATCATATGTGAAAAGGCTAGGAAGTTGCATGACGATTTAATTAGAAAAATGCCAGCAACTAGTGGTGATGTGAGTGAATTTAAGGCCAGCAAAGGTTGGTTTGAGAGATTTAAGAATCATAGTGGCATACATAGTGTGATAAGGCATGGTGAGGCTGCCAGTTTGGACCAAAAAGTAGCTGAAAAATATGTGCAGGAATTCAAGGAGTACATAGACAGTGAAGGACTGAAACCTGAACAAGTGTTTAATGGTGACACTGACAATGTTGTGAAACACTTTAGGAATGTCATAAAGGAATGGGAGGTACAGGCCTCTATGGGAAGATATGTTGTGCGACAGAGGTCCAGTGACTCTCAAGCTGGTCCTAGTGGCATTAGAAGAAGAAGGGAAGTAACCCCAAAAAAGGACTTGCCACCTCAAGTCCTAATGGAAGGGGATTCCCCTTCTAAACACTAAGACCATCAACACACTCCCCTCTTCCCATCCCATCAATCATCACCAGATCTTCAATAAAGGCAAGTGTCATGTAACTGTGCATGTCTTCTTCAGTTTGTGTGTTTTTTTTTTTTTTTTTTTTTATTATCACACTGGCCGATTCCCACCAAGGCAGGGTGGCCCGAAAAAGAAAAACTTTCACCATCATTCACTCCATCACTGTCTTGCCAGAAGGGTGCTTTACACTACAGTTTTTAAACTGCAACATTAACACCCCTCCTTCAGAGTGCAGGCACTGTACTTCCCATCTCCAGGACTCAAGTCCGGCCTGCCGGTTTCCCTGAATCCCTTCATAAATGTTACTTTGCTCACACTCCAACAGCACGTCAAGTATTAAAAACCATTTGTCTCCATTCACTCCTATCAAACACGCACACGTTTGTGTGTATTAAAATTAATATTTCATGTGTTAAAAATTTTTTTTTTCAATACTTTTGGGTGTCTTGCACGGATTAATTTGATTTCCATTATTTCTTATGGGGAAAATTAACTTGACTAACAATTATTTTGACTAACGATGAGCTCTCAGGAACGGATTAATAGCATTAGTCGAGGGTCCACTGTATATGTGTATGCATGCATGCATGTAACTGGCTCCTTGAATTTAACCCCGCCAAATGCAAAGTCATGAAGATCAGGGAAGGGCAAAGAAGACAGCAGAGAGAGTATAGTCTAGGTGGCCAAGGACTGCAAACTTCACTTGAGGAAAAAGATCTTGGGGTGTGTATAATACCATGCACATCTCCTGAGGCGCACATCAATCAGATAACTGCTGCAGTATACGGACGTTTGGCAAACCTAAGAACAGCATTCCGATACCTCACTAATGAATCATTCAAGGCTCTGTACACCATTTACGTCAGGCCCATATTGGAGTATGCAGCACCAGTTTGGAATCCACACTTGGTCAAGCACATTAAGAAATTAAAGAAAGTGCAAAGGTTTGCAACAAGACTAGTCCCAGAGCTAAAGGGATTGACCTATGAAGAAAGGTTAAGGGAAATCGGCCTGACAACACTGGAAGACAGGAGGGTCAGGGGAGACATGATAACGACATAAAATACTGCGAGGAATTGACAAGGAGGACAAAGACAGGATGTTCCAGAGATGGGACACAGAAACAAGGGGTCACAATTGGAAGTTGAAGACTCCTACAAGTTAAAGGGATGTTAGGAAGTATTTCTTCAGTCATAGAGTTGTCAGGAAGTGGAATAGCCTAGAAAGCAACCACAAATAGTTGAGTACATAAATACATACATACATAAATGTATACATACATACTCTGTGGGCAAGTGGAAAAGGATCCTTCCTCCATAAACCTTGCATATCGTAGAAGGCAACTAAAATGCCGGGAGCAAGGGGCTAGTAACCCCTTCTCCTGTATACATTACTAAATTTAAAAGGAAAAACTTTTGTTTTTCTTTTTGTGAAATCCTGCCTCGGTAACATATGGCCAATTTGTTGAAAAAATTATATAAATAAGAAAAATTACTTACCCAAGAATATAAAAGAAGGCATTATCTTCAGGCATAAAATCTCGCACAGAATGAATATCTGAATAATGATCCACCCGGCATAAACCTCGAAGCACAGACACAGGATAAGTATCTGTAGCATCAGAGATAAAAAGTTCTCTTGATTTTATAACTGGATCATCAGTTACTAGGGATTTGTTGTCTGAAAAATAAAGCAAATACCTCTTGAGCCAGGATGGAACACACACTGAAAAGATATGTAAACACAACTATAAAGCAACACATACTGAAAGAATCTTGAATGTTTCAATACAGTTTCATATCCACAATGATAATTAGAACTAAACCACAGCCCCTACTGACAACAGTGATTAGTCTTACAATTTCAAAACAAGTTCCTGGGATCCACAGCAATATTTATTTATTATTTTTTTTTTTATTATCACACTGGCCGATTCCCACCAAGGCAGGGTGGCCCAAAAAAGAAAAACTTTCACCATCATTCACTCCATCACTGTCTTGCCAGAAGGGTACTTTACACTACAGTTTTTAAACTGCAACATTAACACCCCTCCTTCAGAGTGCAGGCACTGTACTTCCCATCTCCAGGACTCAAGTCCGGCCTGCCGGTTTCCCTGAACCCCTTCATAAATGTTACTTTGCTCACACTCCAACAGCACGTCAATTATTAAAAACCATTTGTCTCCATTCACTCCTATCAAACACGCTCACGCATGCCTGCTGGAAGTCCAAGCCCCTCGCACACAAAACCTCCTTTACCCCCTCCCTCCAACCTTTCCTAGGCCGACCCCTACTCTGCCTTCCTTCCACTACAGACTGATACACTCTTGAAGTCACTCTGTTTCGCTCCATTCTCTCTACATGTCCGAACCACCTCAACAACCCTTCCTCAGCCCTCTGGACAACAGTTTTGGTAATCCCGCACCTCCTCCTAACTTCCAAATTACGAATTCTCTGCATTATATTCACACCACACATTGCAATATGTATTCATATAATAAAATGTTAATTAAGTAAATCTATGCGAATATTTTATTTTAAACCCTTCTCTTGTATAAATTACTAAATGTAAAAAGAAGAAACACTTTTATAAGTGTTTCTTCTTTTTTTGAGTCACCCTACCTCAGTGGGATATGGTCGGTGTGTTAAAAAAAAAGTACGTATATTTTATTGCAGAGAAAATATCTTGAATCTCAAGAACTTTAATTTACCATTATAAAGGTAAAGGGTGTGTAAAGGTAGAAAGTTGAAAGTGAACATAGATATGGGTGTGAAGTTTGGGTTGTAAATGGTGCAGTGGGGAGGTGGTTGGAGCAGTGGAGATTTCCTGTGTAAGGGCAATGTGTGGTGTAAATACGTATTATGCAGAAAAAACGGAGTGTAGAAACTAGGAGAAGGTGTGGAGTTAATAAAAGTATTAGGCTAAAGAGGTTTTGTTGAGGTGGTTTGGTCATTTAGAGAGAATGGATCAAAGTAGAATGACATGGAGAGCGTATAAATCTGTAGGGAAAGGAAGGCGGGGTAGGGGTCATCCTCAAAAAGGTTGGAGGGAGGGGGTAAAGGAGGTTTCGTGGGTGAGGGGCTTGGACTTCTAGCAAGCATGTTTGAACGTGTTAGATAGGAGTGAATGGAGACGAATGGTTTTTGGGACCTGACGAGCTGTTGGAGTGTGAGCAGGGTAATATTTAGTGAAGGGATTCAGGGAAACCAGTTATTTTTATATAGCCGGACTCGAGTACTGGAAATGAGAAGTACAATGCCTGCACTTTAAAGGAGGGGTTTGGGATATTGGCAGTTTGGAGGGAGATGTTTTACATCTTTATATATGCTTCTAAACTGTTGTATCTGGGTGCCTCTGCAAAAACAGTGATTATATATGAGTGAGGTGAAAGTGCTGAATGATGATGAAAGTATTTTCTTTTTGGGGATTTTCTTTCTTTTTGGGTCACCTTGCCTCGGTGGGAGACAACCGACTTGTTGAAAAAAAAAAGTAACAATAATGGCAAGTCTAAGTAACTTAAAATTATGCAAGTAGTCAGCTGAAACAAATATCAGTAGAGATATTACTGTTGTTTTGCTGATGTTAATAAGCAGCTATACTTAAAAATCATTAAGAGAAGCCACTAAATATTACAACATAAAAGCAATATTGACAGCAGTGAACAGTGGACATTTAAAGCTACACAAACTGGAGATGGGAAGTACAGTGCCTGCACTCTGAAGGAGGGGTGTTAATGTTGCAGTTTAAAAACTGTAGTGTAAAGCACCCTCCTGGCAAGACAGTGATGGAGTGAATGATGGTGAAAGTTTTTCTTTTTCGGGCCACCCTGCCTTGGTGGGAATCGGCCAGTGTGATAATAAAAAAAAAAAAAAAAACTGAGAATGTAATTTTATCTAATTTGTATAATTTTTAATAAACAAAAGTATTTCAACAAGAAAAATTACTACCTTATCAATGTAAATTTTTGGAATAAGAATCTTTTGCAAGAACTGATGCACTCAAAATTCAACCAACAAAAAGAAAGTTAAGCTAAAAAAAATACATGACAAACTTTGTATGCAAAATTTCTCTTGCTTAAGAGTAGTGTGATACGACCAAAAGCCAAGTATACATGTACATGAAAGTATATTTAGAAATTAATAAAAATTAGATTCCAAAAATCATGCAGTCATGCACTCATTATTAAGTGATTTTGATGCTACCAGGCTTACTGTTTTCTGTGTTGCGATCCTGAGCCAGTCGTTGGTAAACAGTTTCTGGGACTTCTGACGGTCGGTAGAACCACTTGATGTTTACCATTAGCGTGTCTCTCTTACTCTAAAAAAAGTAATACATACAGATAATTTCAAGATTTAATTTTAAATACTGTATTAGGCACAGTGGTACTTCGGGATATGAACAGCTCAAAACTCGAACAATTATGTAAGTGTATTTATGTAAGTGCTTCTGTAAGTGTACTTTTGGGGGTCTGAAACGGATTAATCTAATTTACATTATTCCTTAATGGAACAAATTCATTCGGTATCGGCACTCGAACAGCCTTCTAGAATGAATTAAGTTCGTATCCTGAGGTACCACTGTATTAGGATATAATTTGGCAATACCTTGTATGGTGGTAAATTTTATGGTGAAGAATTAAAAGTTGCGAAAGAATCCAGGTATTCAGAATTTTTATTAAGCAAGGGTGAAAAATATTAAAATAAAAAAAGAAAAGAAAAAGGGAAAAAATAAGATAATGGCAAAAATTAAGTAATGAGAAAATAACCTCCAACGTAGGGAAATAGAATGGAAATTAACAAATTTGCTAGGGTAAACAGAAGGATGATGAGTTTTGTGGGACACACAAGTTAAAAAAAGAAAAAGGTATACAAACATATAATAAAGCACTGATGTGTGGAGACTCATGATAGCTAAACTTAAGTGATAAAATTGTCATTATCATTTGTTATTATTTTTATATTATACAAAATATTATTTTCATTATTATTTTAAACAAAGTGCCAAATCCATGTGGATCATTTAGTGCAAGACAGTGGTGGCTCAATGCTCCCTTTGCTAATTAAAGTGAGCCTCTATAAATATAAACAAAGTGAAGCGCTTTATAGTGCTTCGCTTTACGGTTTTTGCTAATGAAGCGGTTTACACTTATACCCATTCTTCATTTATTCAGACTTCTTACAATAAATACATTCACCACTCACTATAAGCCAAGGAAAAAGCATTTTAAGGTAAGTAATGTGTGTACCGTATGTGCTTTATTTAGGCCTAGCTCTTATTTCTCACTTAATATATGATAGTGTAAACATGTTATCAGGCTTTTATATGCATTTGAAAGTGAAAAAAGGTTATGTTTCATTTTACAGTGATTTTCGCTTTACAGCAGCAGCCTGGAACCCAACCTGCTGTATAAGCAGGAACTGCCTGTATAGTAATTGTTTCTCCACTTTCACCAAAGTATTTACCCAGAAAAGGTAAAAGTATTCCAGGAAAATGAGTCAATTATATTAGAAATAATACAGCATTGTATACTATGAAGAAAATATAATGTAAAAATAATACTCAGTTTTACTTACCCTGCGAAATTCTTGTATTGAGCATATAAAGAATGGCTGATCAGCGCGCTGACTTTCAATATACACAGAATCTGGAACACACACAAGCTACAATAATAAAATCAAATTCATGCAACAAAATCTTTTCAAGAGCTAAAATATCTCAGGTATAATTCTGTGGCTTTTCTTCATGCACCATTCAATGTGTGTATGTATTTACTTACCACCCTAATGTTACCTCAAGCCCATTCAAACCCACCTGCAAACTATTTAACATCAGTCACCCACAGTAAACGGTCTCATCATTGTAATTCACCTCATCTTGCACCTTTACTATTTCTCATCCTCAAAACAGATATAAAAATGCCAACCATAGATTCTTTCATTTACAGACAATACGACAATATACATGAAAGTAACTTCAGTAGAAAACATTGGAAAACTGCATGAGGATATTAGCATAGTATTCCAGGAGGCAGTAAAAAATAATATGGAGTGAAATAATAAACTCAAATTGCTCAGAAATAAGGATAAAAAAATGAAAAATTCAAACAGCGGCTCTGTATACAACACAGGAGGACCACCTAGCAAAACAAAAGGAACATGTTAAAGACTGACCTTACTGGTCATTTAACCCTTTCACTGTCAGTGTCAAATTAGTACGGCTTACAAGCCAGTGCTGGTGCCATATTAATACACCAAAACTCTAGCGGCTTCAAATCTAGCGGGAGAAAGCTGGTAAACCTACATGCGAGAGAATGGGTCTGCATGGTCAGTGTGCGCAATATAAAAAAAATCCTGCAGCACGCAGTGCATAATGAGAAAAAAAAAAAACTCCAACCATGTTTTTGGTTTAAAATGCCAACTTCGAGGTATGGTATTTATGATTGTATTCTCATTTTCTTGGTCTCATTTGATAGAATGGAAGATATATTACAGAAATATAGATGATTTTGACTGGTTTCATGATGAATAGTACCTTGAAATTGAGCTCAAAGTAGTGGAAATGTTCGATTTTTGCCAATGTTCATGAGCAAACAAATGACGTCACCACCCAATATGTGTCCAACTGGCCAGTCTAATATGCAGTCATGAATGGACTGACATTATTTATACAATTATTACAATAATGCAGTAGTCTGCATAACAGTAAATCTTCTATTTTTGTGTGAATAAAAATTCAAAATGGAAAGCAAGAGTAATATAAGAGGGGCCTGGAGATGTGACTAATGAACAGAGAAAGTGTTATTTTAGTGACAGAAATGTCTGCATTGCTTATTCTGGACCCTACTTTGAAATTGGCATCTTTTGAAATTTGTGTGAAATTGGCCAAACTGGCAATTTCCGACCACTTTATTGGGTAGTTGAAATTGGTAAATGGGCGGTTTCTTGTGCTCACTCAATAGAACAAATGGAGTTCTAGTGAAATAGCTATGAGTTTGGTCGACTGGAACAATGGAATTGGTCGAAAATTGAGCTCAAAGTGGGCGAAATCGCCGATGCATATACAGTGGACCCCCGGTTAACAATATTTTTTTCACTCCAGAAGTATGTTCAGGTGCCAGTACTGACCGAATTTGTTCCCATAAGGAATATTATGAAGTAGATTAGTCCATTTCAGACCCCCAAACATACACATACAAATGCACTTACATAATTACACTTACATAATTGGTCGCATTCGGAGGTAATCGTTATGCGGGGGTCCACTGTATATTGCCGAGACCACTAACTTGGCAAGAGCATAATTCCATAAGTTTTCCATCAAATTTCGTACTTTTTGTGTCATTACCATCAGAAAAAGATTCTCTATCATTTCATAAAAATAATTTTTTTTTAAATTCTTCGACACTGAGAGGAAGTTTGTGAGCAGGGGTCTCCACAGTGAAAGGGTTAAAGAACACAATTAGGCTAATGTTGCAAAAGCTAGAAAAATGACAGGGTGGATATAGAGAACTTTCAAAACAAGAAAAATTGCCAATGATGACACTCAAATTATTTGTTCTCTCTCACCTAGAGTACTGGGCACTATGGACATAATAAGGGAAAACTATCAACAGTCATGGGATTAGCCTATTCAATACATTACCAGCAGACAGCAGATATACTGCTGGAATGAGTGTAGAAGCTATCAAGAGGAAACTAAACAGATACCCCCACCAAGTTCCAATAACAAGCAGGCCATCAACAATAACAACCTAGTTGACCAGACAAGCATCAAAAAAGTCTGGCCCCAGGCAAGGCAGTGGGATTTGGAAAACACTAAACTGGTCACAGGTATATCTCAGGTATTATTAACCTCACTATTTCCCAGTCTATTCCACATAAAGCTTATCAAAGTTGCATTGTCATGTTCCCAGTATAGGTAACTTCTTACTGATGACCGTCTGACTAATGGCCACCACTATTTGACTATTTTCTCCTGGCAAGGTAGCGGCAAAATTAATTTTCAGTAATGGAACCTTTATTTATAACAATCTCCATGCGGAAGTGGAGAAGAATCCTTCCTTTTTAAGTCATGCATGTCGTAAGAGGCGACTAAAATGCAGGGAGCAAGGGGGCTGGTAACCCCATCTGTACAAATTACTATATGTAAAAAGTAAAACTTTTCTTTTTCCTTTTAGGTCACCCTGCCTTGGTGGGAGATGGCTGGTGTGATGAAATAAAAACATTATAACAATAAACCAAAAGAAATAGGATTTAATTTATAAGTCAGGCTTCCTTGTTAACTGTCTGGTCAACTGCTGCTGTTGCTACTCACACACAGGCCATTTACTGAATTATTTTCCCAACAATAAACCAAGCACATAAAATAAATAACAAGAGAGGTCTATCTTGGGAAATATGAATTCAGCCTATGTAAGCCACTCTGACACAACCTCCATGGTACTGGTTAATTTGTTAACTGTATGGGGTTCACATACTGTGAACATACATTCCCTAAACTCATACCTCCAGGTCTATACAGAGTAGCATCATCGGTACAGAGGTATGATACATATTCTCCATTTGGTGCACGAAATGCTTGACCCCTTACTGGTTGCTTCTTCCCAACAACTGCTGTCATAACCTGGAAAATATAATCTGTTTATGTATTACAATATAGACCACCTAAAATAAAGAAGTATTAGGTAACCTACAAGTTTAGAAATTTGCTGCAAATATTACAAAGAATATACTTTTTATTAATAAAGAATGTGCAAATTGTGGCTGAATTAAATTATTTTCACTGATTTAAAACTCTATAAACTACTATTAATGTAAACTAACCAGTATTTATCCAAACAGTACCAAGCATATTCTATTCCTAGCTGCAAGGGATAAAGCAGTTGCTGCAAATTCTCACTTGATACAAATGTACTGTACATATGTCATAACCTCATATCACAAAGACTATGGAAAAATACTTCACGACTAGATACTCTCTCAAACATATTTGTATGTGAAACATTACCTTTTATTAAATCTTGAACATTCATACACTCTTACATAGCCACAGTATTGAAACTAGTGTGTTCCCCAAAATTGAAAAAAAAAAAAAAATAGTCACATGACTAATTAATGATCCATGTCAGACCATAACATCATGATATGCTTCTTTCTCCTGTATGCAGGCTATTTGTGCCATTACAATTATGTCATATTTAATGACACTACAGATGGAATGACCAAGGTCTAAGTTAATTGTCACCACAAAGAGTAATCATCTGACCTCCACTGATCTGACCATGAAGCATAACCTGACCTACTAGCTTAACTGGATTGTACCTCTTCAATGACAGTTCCATCTGGTCCCTTTGGTCCTCCAGGCACTAGTACTCCACTTGGAGGAATTGAAGTAGTAGATGAATTAGAATTAGAATTTGATGAAGATGAAGAGGAGGGGGGTGGATTACTGGAGTTACCACCACACCCCCCTCCATGATCTGCCTCCTCAACCAGCTTGCCTCGGTCTGTGGTAGTCATACTTCCCTTAAAGCTTCTTCATCTAAAACAAACACAAATTTGGAATATAATAGAGTGTCAGTACATATAAGTAGTTTTTAAGAAATAATGGCTCTTAATCATATTTACTGTTTAACATCATCTTTAATGTATAATTCATGATACAGTACCCAGCTATGTTTGATGGATAATAATGCAATGCATTCATTCACATTTAGGAACATAAAGTAGTAGCAGTGGTCCAAGAAGAAAGACAGTAATGATGATGATGAAGCAGCTGGTAATGAAAACAACAACAAATATTAAGATTTACTTAGATTAGTACTCTATACGGTAAATACCCAAGAAAACCAAGCACTGTGACTTATTTCTACTAGAGACCTTTCTGTCTTTAGGTCCTCCCCAAGGATGTGACCCACAGAAGTCAGCTAACTCCAGCTAACCTCCTCCTGCCTATATATACCCATCCTGATCTCCTTTTCGTTAGTGTGACTTTGTAAATGGTCCAAGTCGGACCGAAACATCGTCGTAAGCTCCTCTCTTCTATGTGCGGGTTATTTGTGCATTGTTCTAGTCACGGTGTTGTGCCTTTTTGTTATTTGTGTATCTATTTATATCCATTTACTGCTATGTAACCAGGGCAGCAGGCAGTGAGACCTGCCCTTAAGCCTCTCCTCATATAAAGCTTGACTTGGGTTCTTCTCCCATGCAAGTCGAGCCCATTACCACTGTGCTTTGAAATGCTGACTAACTGATGAGTTAGTTGTGTAGGCTAGATTTTCTAGATACAGTACTATACTGTTTGAATTTGTAACCCAGAGGGTTAGCCGTCCAGGATAACCCAAGTTAGTGGGCCATCGAGGACTGTTTGTCTTATATCCACTGGGATCCTTCAATCATTCCCCCCCCCCCCATGATGCAACCCACACCAGCCAACTAACACCAAGGTATCTACTTACTGCTAGGTGAACAGTGGCAGGTGTAAGGAAACATGCCCAATATTCCCACCCAGCCAGAAATTGAACCACAGACACTCAGTATGTGATAAAGTGGGAGTTATCACAGATCTCATTGCCAGTGAACTTGTTGGGAGATAGGTCTATAAGATATAAAATGAACCACAGAACTGATAAAGATAAAAAAGGTGGGTGTGTGTTAAAGCATCCATGGACAATGAAACATTATGTGTGGAGATAAAGAACTTTATCCATATACCAGAGCGTATATGGGTGTGAAGCATGGGTTTTAAACATTGTAGTGAAGAGACTGGAGGTAGTGAATATGTCATGTTTGCGGGCACTGTATGGCATGAATACTATTATGCGGAAAATTCAGAGTGAAAATATAAAGGTGTAGGGGTTACCAAAAGTATAATTCAAGGGCTGAAGGGGAGTTATTGATGTGTTTGGGCATTTAGGGAGAGTGGAGCAAAATAGGATGACTAGGAGGGTATAGTACAAAAATCTGGAGTGAAGGGAAGGAGGGGTAAGGGTAATTTATCCAAGGGAGGGTTGGAGGTGCATAAATCAAGTTTTGAGTGATAGGGGCTTGAATATTTAAAAGGCTTGTGTGAGTGCATTACATCTGAGTGAGTGGAGGCAAATAGTTTTTATGATTTCGCTTGTAGTGTGAGCAAGTTAACATTCATGAGGGGATTCAGGGAAAACAGGTTAGCTGGACTGGAGGTGTGTGGTACAGTCCTTGCACTCTGAAGGAGGGATGAGGATGTTGCAGGTTGAATGGCCATCTGAACTGTGATAACAGAACACTACTAGCAGAATGTTTATTTTTATTAACACACTGGCCGATTCCCACCAAGGCAGGGTGGCCCAAGAAAGAAAAACTTTCATCATTCACTCCATCACTGTCTTGCCAAAGGGGTGCTTTACACCACAGTTTATAAAACTGCAACATTAACACCCCTCCTTCAGAGTGCAGACACTGTACTTCCCATCTCCAGGACTCAAGTCCGGCCTGCTGGTTTCCCTGAATCCCTTCATAAATGTTACTTTGCTCACACTCCAACAGTACGTCAAGTATTAAAAACCATTTGTCTCCATTTACCCCTATCAAATACACTCACGCATCCTTGCTGGAAGTCCAAGCCCCTCGCACACAAAGCCTCCTTTACCCCCTCCCTCCAACCTTTCCTAGGCCGACCCCAACCCCGCCTTCCCTCCACTACAGATTTATACACTCTTGAAGTCATTCAGTCTCGTTCCATTCTCTCTACATGTCCGAACCACCTCAACAACCCTTCCTAGCAGAATGCGTTTCCTTATTTTAGGTTACCCTACCTTGGCAGAAAATGGCTTGTGCTAAAAAAATAACTGAAGTGTACAAACAGATAACTGGAATAAATGAAGGGTGCTGTACATAGTATATAATGTGCTGAAATTATCTAACCAAAACAAATCTCACAGCAATGGATCAAAGTTTGGAAATTTAGATACAGAAATGATACAGGATGAGTGGAATAAACTCCTAGGTAGATCTTTTAAGTGAGAACTTTAGATAGCTCTAACAATAGATTGGATGGGTACACGAGCTGGTGTGGGTGAGTGACAGTTAAGACCTGCTTAGCATGAGCCAACAGGCTTACTTATGTTTATATTATATTAATGTGAAAGCACTAAACTAGTAGCAGTCACAAGTTTATTTAGGTACAGGTACATAAATACAATTATCATACATATCTGGCGTATACCTGGAGGGTGTTTCAGGGGTCAATGCCCCCATGGCCCAGTCCATGATCAGGCCTTGTGGCAGATGAGAGCCTGATCAACCAGGCTGTTACCACTGGCCGCACACACACCAATGTACGAGCCACAGCCCAGCTGATCAGGAAGTGACTTTAGGTGCCTGTCCAGCTCCCTCTTGAAGACAGTCAGAAGACTATTATAATCTCCTCCTTATGTATGCTGGAAGGCAACTTAACAATCTTGGTCCCTTTACACTTATTGTGTTCTCTTAGCATACTCGTGGTGTCCCTGCTTTTCACTGGGGGAGATGCTGCACTGCCCGCCAAGTTTTATGCTTTCATAGGGAGAGATTTCTGTTTGCACATTTGGGACTAGCCCCTCTAGAATTTTCTAAATGTATATTATCATCTATCTTTCTAACCTGCATACCAAAGAGCACAAATCAAGGGACTTCAACCGTTCCCAGTAATTTAGGCACTTTCTTGTACTTATACAAGCAGTGAAAGTTCTCTGTATATTCTCCAGGTCAGCAATTTCACCTGCCTTGAAAGGGATCATTAGAGTACAGCAATACTGCAGCCTAGAGAGAGAAAACGATTTGAAGAGAATCAGACATTGCCGAGATCTTTGAAAGTGAGATTCTCGGACATTATCAATCCCAGGTCCTTCACATTAGCTTTTTGCTCTATTGTGTTGTTGGAATTTGTTTTATACTCCAATCCAGTTTTTATTTCCTCGAGTTCTCCATAGCGGAGTAATTGAAATTTGTCTTCATTAAACTTCATATTGTTTTTCTGAGGCCCGTTTAAAGATCTGGCTGATGTCCGCCTGGAGTCTTCCAGTGTCCTCAATCAATCATCCTGTCCTGCAAATTCTGGTATCATCAGGAAAGGAGGACACGGTGTTGTTGGCTTACATCTCTGTCTATGTCAGATGTGAGGATGAGGAAAAGGATGGGAGTAAGTACTGTACCCTGTGGAACAGTGTCTTCACTGTAGCCACCTCTGATTTTAATAATAATAATAACAATAATTTTATTTTAGCATTATTCATGTTTGTACAAAGGAGTACTATAACAATTCGGGTGTACATGCCAAAAACCCCTTTATATGCAGAGCATTTCAGGCAAACCTAAGACTAACTTAAGATTAATAAGGCAATAACAGTACAGTAATTGTACATATGGTCATTAGGCAAGTTACAATGAATACAAGAAAACTGAATGTTCTATTAGATCATGCTATATGGCTTTAATAAGTTTGGTAGAGAAGAATTACAGTTTTGTTTATTAACCTAAGGTGAACACAACGGAATGATTAAAAATTGAGAGGATTACATATATTAAGAGTAAGTAAAATTGATTACAATGTTTTACCTATGTTCATGATACTGAGCAAATGCATGTACAGTTTTTAAATACCTATTTATGATGGGCTGGGATAGGTTAAGGAGATAAGTTGTTTTCTAACTGTGGTTTAAAAATGTTAGCTGAGCCAGTGGTTCTGGAGATTTCTGGTAGAGTTCCAGATTTTGAGCCCTTTTATGTGCACTGGCTTTTAAAAAGATTTTGCCTGACACAGGGAATGTCAGAGATTTTTTTGTCTACCACTGTGTCTATGGGTCCTATTGCAATTGTCAAGAAAGCACTTCAGGTCAGGATTTATATTAGAATTGAGTGTTCTGTAAACGTAGGTTGCACAGAAGCACGAGTGAATGTTTTGTACAATGAGTAGGTTTAGGTCTTTGAAAAGTGGGAGTGTGTGTTGTCTAGCAGTGGACTGTGTGATCATTCACACTGCAGCCTTTTCTTTTTATTAACACATCGGCCATTTCCCACCAAGGCAGGGTGGCCCAAAAAAAGAAAAACTTTCATCATCATTCACTCCATCAATGTCTTGCCTGTGAGGGAAAAGTTCAATAGATAGGAGTAGCGAGGGAATATATAGTAACAATAGTTTCATTGCCGGCTACTTGTTAAGGTAGGGTAAGTCAAGCTCCCGCTATTCCCGCCTTTTCTCCCCCACCCCTAAAGTGATAGTTTGATTGCCGGCTGCTTGTTAACGTAGGGTCAGTCTAGCTCCCACTATCCCTTCCCCCCCCCGAAAGGTGACGTGTAGGGCTCTGGTCAAACAGTAAATCACTCGACTCACAGCTCCTAACACTTCTCTTGGATGACAGAGAGGGTCACCTGTCAATCAACGAGAAAAACTGACGGAGACGGACTAACGTCCTGTAGATGTCCCATATTGGATTTAATTACCTGTGCACCTGTATGAAATTGCAGGACGTAACCCCACATCATTGCAGCAGTAAAGAACCTGCTTTCCTGTCATCGGGATAG